CTACCAGAGAGCCACACCCCAGCCCCTCACTGGGGGATTCTAGGCAGGTGCTCTACCACTGAGCCACACCCCAGCCCCTCACTGAGGGAGTCTAGGCAGGTGCTCTACTACTGAGTCACACTCTCAGCCCCTCACTGGGGGATTCTAGGTAGGTGCTGTACTGCTGAGCCACACCCCCAGCCACTTCCCGGTGGAGCCTGGCAAGTTCTATACTATGAGTTATATTCTCAGTCCTTTGATTTTTGAGAGACTCACCGTGTAGCTCAAGCTGGCTTTGACTTGTGACCTTTCCTCCACCTCCAGAGTGCTGGGATTATGGGTGTCTATCACCATGCCTGGCCACTGTCCTGAATTTTATTACTATTATTTTGAGACAGGGTTTCCCTTCTTAGCTTAGGATGGACTAGAATCACTGTGACCTTCCTGCCTCAGCCTCCTGAGTGCTGGGATTACAGGCATGTGCCACTTCCTGCCTGCCAGGCAAGCACTTCACCATCTGACCTGCATCTCTAGCCCCTCAATTCTTTTAGCTAATGTACAACGTTGCGTTTCATGGATGCAGAACAGTTTTTTCACAAGCTGTCTTTTGGGAACTTTGCTCACTTTCCAAAGCTCATTTCTTCCATTCTTGCCCATTGAGTCTAGGAAAGGTACATGCTGACAAACCTGGTCCACACTCGACAGCCAACTTGTGCTTCAGCCTTTCTGACAGCCGACCACACAGAACGCTCGCTGCTTTTCCTGTGTTAAATGCCACAGAATGTGAAACTCATTGTTTGCCTGCGTCAGGTGCAGTGTTCCGGTTTTTAGTGTATTGACCGATCAGCTGCCTGCACTCTAATTCAGAGCCTTATCACCTGCATCTACCCTTAAGCAGTCATTTCTTACTTCCCACCCTTGGCAACCACTGGTGCTTTCTGTTTTGATTTGCCTGTCCTGCCTGTATGGTTCATGTAAATACACATGTGGGCTTCCCGCCTTCCTTTACTTAGCTCAGTGATTTGGCGGTTCATCTTCTACTATCACCTGAAAGTGCCTTTTCTTTTTGGTGCTGTGGATTAAATTTGAGTAAGAAGAACATGGGGCATGGTGGTGCATGCCCACAGGATAAGCACTGGGAGGTGGAGGCAGGAGAACCAGGCTTCAGTGCCATCCTTGGCTATATAATGTGTCGAGGCTAGTCTGGGATACAAGAGACCCTGTATTTAAAGAAAAAAAAAAAAAAGGTTGGAGAGATGGCTCAGCGGTTAAGAGCACTGACTGCTCTTGCAGAAGACCTGGGTTCAATTCCTAGCACCCACATGGTGGCTACGAACTGTATGTAACTCCAGTTCTAGGGGAATCCGAAGCCCTCTTCTGACCTCCGCAGCATTGCACGACATGGGTGCACTCACACACATGCAGGCAATACGCTCATACACATTAAAAAAAAAAAAAAGAGTGGGGCCATGTTGGTGCACACCTTTAATCTCAGCATTCAGGAGGCTGAGGCAGGTGTATCTCTGTGTATTTGAGACCAACCTGGTCTATACAGTGAGTTTCAGGCCAGCCCGGGCCAAGTAGGAGACCCTGTCTTAAAAAGGCCGGGGGTGGGGTGTGATGGGGTGCAGAGATGACTCAGTGATTAAGAGCACTGGCTGCCCTTGCAGAGGTCCTGGGTTTGGTTCCCAACACCCATATGGTGGCTAGCCACCATCTGTAACTCCAGTTCCAGTGGATCTGACTCCTGGTCTCCACGGGCACTGCATCCATGTGCACTTACATGCACGTGCACTTACATGCAGGCAAAACACATAAAATGAATAAAAAACATTTAAACAGAATACCACTTTGGGGCTGCAGGTATAGTCCAGCTGTAGAGCTCTTATGTAGCATGTGCAAAGCCCTGGGTTCTATCCTCGGTACCAAAGGGGATACAAGCCCCAAGTGCTTATGGAGAAAGATGAAGCTGGCTAAGGAGTGGAGTGACCCCTGGTGGGAAATGACAGAAGTACTTTGTGATGGAAGTCTGAAGTTGACATCTGAGTCCTGCCCTGAAGGATGGACTGAGCACCAGCAAGGTTGGGGAGTGGGAAAGAGTACCCCAGATGTAGAGGCTGCAGGTGCAGAGGCCCTGGGGTGGGGAGGGGATACCAGGCAGGTGGTGTGGCTGGAGGAGAGTGACCCGGCATGCAGGAGGCTGGCTGGGCTCGGTGTTGAAGATTCCACACTGGCCTGCATGTCCCCTGCATGTCAGCACTGTGGCATAGGAACAAGTGTGCTGTGGTCTGCTGGCATCTTCTCCCTCAGGCTTGGCCTGTACCAGCTGTGTCATTGCATAACCGCTTCCTACCCGAGGCTGCTCATGTATAAAGAGGTAATTGCAGCACCTGCTTTGCAGAGCCCTTGTCAGAGGGTAGATCTTCTATTACCGTAGGTCAGGTCAGGTGTGCCACCAGCACCTGGTTGTTTTTTATATTTCTTTAGTGGTGCTGGGGATTGAACTCAGGACCTTATGCATGCTAGGCAAGCACTCTACCACTGAACTACATCTTAGCCTTTTGTTTGTTTTATTGAGGCAGGGCCTTGCTAAGTTTTCAAGCTAGTCTTGAATTTACTCTGTAGTCCAAGTAGGCCTTGAACTCTGGATCTGCTGCTTCAGCCTCCTACATAGTTGGGGCGACAGGCCTGTACCCCCAGGCCCAGCTGGCTGCAGTTGCTATTCTGAGGCATCTTAATTTTGTGTGGGAGGGATGTCACCATGACTTCTTCCTTTTTTCTGCATCAGGAAACTGCCTTTCAGAAAGGGATATGGCTTTGAAGCTGTGGGGCTGAATTTGAACCCAAACTGCCTTGCCCAAGTCCAGGCTCCTTCCTCCCAGGGAGCCATGGTGACCTGACTGGCTCCAATAGAGCAGAAGGGAGGAGCAGACGGCCCTGGGCAGAGGAAGGTGGCATTGGGTGTCAAAGACTGAGTCTTAGGTCACTAAGACTGGGCTCAAACTCACTGTGGGAAGATGGCTTGAACTGCTGATCCTCTTGCTTCCACCTCCTGAGCGCTGAGACTGCAGGCATGCCTCATCATACCCTATTTATTTGGTGCTAGAAATTGAACCCGGGCCTTTCTCCATGCTGGCCAAACACACTACCAACTGAGCCACTTCTTCAGCTCAAGATTGGTACCTGCAGTAAGGCTGTAATAACCTACCCTCCCAGGGTCCTATAAGAGAACCCCAGACTGGACAGCAGTAGACTGACCCCTGTCCTTCCTCCCATTCAGCCTTCAACAGGAGTGGCAGGTCCAGGCAGGGGGAGGGGAGGATGGGGGCTTTACAAGTAGCTCCTTCCACAAAGAACTGCCCTGTATCAGCTAATAAAATAGAGGAAACTCAGTAGGGAAGTGGGTCTTTCTTTTTCTTTGCCAGTTACTAGCCATGCAATGTTGATCAAAGGAACATACGGATCTGGGTGAGGTGAGTCAGGTTGTAATCCTAGTTCTTGGAACTGGAACCAGCAGGATTGCTACAAATTCAAGGTTTACTTGGGCTACAAAGTAAGACTCTGTCTCAACACACATCGACACACAGACAGACAGACATGAGCCAAAAATATGTAATGCCTGGTGTGGAGGCACATGCTTTTAATCCTAGTCCTTGGGAGGCAGAGGCAGAGGCAGGTGGATCTCTGAGATTGAGGCCAGTCTGGGACTATGGGAGACCCTGTCTAAATAATGATGATGATGATGATGATGATGATGATGATGATGTAAGCCATACACGGTGGCACATGCCCTTAATCTTAGGAACTCAGGAGGCAGAGGCTCTCCAAACAAAGAAAGAGGTAAAAACTGGAGCTGCCTTTGGCTCATGCTTGTAATCCTGACACTTGGATTGTGTATAATCAGGGCTACAGAGTGACCCTGTTTCAAACAACAAAAAATGAAAACTATGGCCTTACATTTGGACTGAATGATGGCAGTCCTCAACTATGCTCCTAGGAAAATTACTCAAGTCCTACTGGTTCTAAATGCTGAAGGAGAGCCACCTTACCTGTTCTCAGCTGGGAGCCTCCGAAGTGCTGGGATTGTAGGTGTGCACCACCATGCACGGCTTTGTCTTCAGCCCTCCTCTTTTTCTTTGAAGGTGATGTTACAAGAGTCACTGATAACATTTAAAAAGCCCCCAACTGACAACTGCTAAGCACCTACTGTGTGCCACGATTCGGGCCCTGTTATTTATGTGTATGATCCTTGATGTGATGAGCACCCCGTCTTACATATGAGGAAACAGAGGTTCCAGGAGCTTAGCTAGCAAGGGCCTACAGCTACTGTGCAGCAGAGCTGGGATTCAAACCCAGGACTCAGTGGTGAGCAAAACTAGAAGAGCCTGACTACTCCCCCCCAGTCCATCCATCCATCCATCCATCCATCCATTCATCCATCCAGGGGGCTTCTGTAGTCCTGTGCTCTCTGTGTGACAACTCGAACCTAGCTCTCTAGTAAGAATGCTGCTGTTGGGGTAGAGAGGTGGCTTAGCAGTTAAATGCCTACTGTTCTTGCAGAGGACCCAAGTTCAGTTCCCAGCACCCATACTGGGTGGCTCACAACCACCTATAACTCCAGCTCCAGGGAATCCAGTGGCCTCTTCTGGACTCCATGGGTACCCACACTCATGTGCACATATCCACACACGAACACATATACAAATAATAAAAAAAATTTAGTAAAATAAGAGAACGTTGCTGTTGGCACCAAGGAGAGCTCCATGGCAGGCAGTATGGACAGGCCGATGTGGAGGTCTGGAGATGTCTCAGGGAGTATCTGCTTTCATTTAGTGAGTCCTGCTCCATGCCATGTCCCTGGCATACAGCTTGGGACTTAGTGGCATTGCTCAGTCCTGGTCACCACTGACACAGGTGGCATTCCAGGGGAGACTGCTGCCCAGATGGACAGTATCCCTCTTACTGTTCCCTGTCCCACAGCAAGCCCAAGGCTGGCACTGACGGCTTTTCTCTGCCTACAGTTGGAGAAGGAGGAGCAGATACACAGCGTGGACATTGGGAATGATGGCTCAGCCTTCGTGGAGGTGCTGGTGGGAAGCTCAGCCGGAGGAGCTGCACCTGGGGAGCAGGACTATGAGGTAAGCAGGGCTGGGAGACTCTGGCTTTCATCTCTGTTGCTGCTCCTCAGGGTGCTACATGTGGGAGGAGGTGAGTCACCCAATCACTGCCTTCTGGAGGATCACTGGTGTGCAGAGGAGACAAAGCAGGCCCAGGGTGGCAGACTACAGTCAGAGAAGAGCCAGATTCCTATGTCATGGCTGAATAAGCACCAGAGGCCCTTGCTGGTTCCTAAATTCAGTCACTGCTTGAGAGCAAGGCTGCTTTGTGCAGATCCCTGAGGCTCACAGATGGGCTGGGACCCTGGGATTCTGCGACCTCCGTGGTGCCGCTGTAGCCTTTCATTTAGGGTAGATGTTCACACGAAGGAACATTTAGAAAGTCAGCATAGTCCCTTTGTAACTGATACTTACTAAAGACCAGTCTCTCCAGTCTGGAATTCTCTATGTAGACCAGGCTGACCTCAAACTCACAGAGATGCACCTGCCTCTGCCTCCCAAGTGCTGAGATTAAAGGTATACACCACCACACCTGGTCAAAAACCTTTTTATTCTCAAAGTGAGATAAGTCAACAGATTTTGGCATAATTACAAAAAAGTTATTCAAGGGGCTGGAGAGGTGGCTCAGAGGTTAAGAGCATTTGCTGCTCTTGCAACAAGTTCCTGGCATTCACATCAGGCAGCTCTCAACTGCCTGTAACTTGGCCGGGCATGGTGGCACACCCCTTTAATCCCAGCACTTGGGAGGCAGAGGCAGGCAGATCTCTGTGAATTCAAGGCTAGCATGATCTATATAATGAGT